TCTCTCTCTCTCTCTCTCTCTCTCTCTCTCTCTCTCTCTCTCTCTCTCTCTCTAGTATATAATGATGGTAATAATAATAATAATAATAATATATAGGCGGTAATAAAATGAAAAATTAAAAAAAGACTAACAAGTTTAGGACTAACCTTTCCGCGCGGAGGCGTTAACAGTACTCTCTGTGCTCTCTGCGAATTCACGAGAGAGCGCCAGCCCTTTGATAAGGGTGCTCACGAATCTGACCCAGGTGCCTACGCTGCTTCGCAGCGGCTGCTGCACCTGTGCCCAACATACAAATGTAAGTAATCGACCACAAATTTGTTTCTTGCATTTTGTGTGTGATATATTTTTTTTTTTTTTTTTAATTATTATTATTGTTGTTGTTGCAGTCGTTGTTGTTGTTGTTGGTTGCTGTAATTATTTAAGTTGTGTATATAAACGTGTTGGGGGGAAGAATGTGACTTCTTATTATCTCTCTTTTCGTTTCGTTTCGTTTTGTTTTTCTTTTTTTTTTTTTTTTTTTTTGGATTCCTTTCTTTCTATCGTTCGATCATGTATTTAATTCCACAGTAGTCAGCGTGGCAAACAAATGTTTGATATCGTCTTGCTGCTAAATTAAACAAGAACTGATAAATTAACATTTTACATTTGGGGGGTCTCACCCGGTACGGTCGTAAATCACTATCCAAATATTTTGTTGATATTTTATAAAATAAATTTCAATTTGAGATTTATTATGAAAATGAAAATTTTTCATTTGTCGATTATCTGTTAGGTAAGATTGTGGTTTACATGACCGCGACCCAATTATTTTGTAGGTTTGCAACGTGAAGATAGTAAGCTTTACGCTGTTTCAATACAAATTTCTTCTAATCTTTTATTGTTGAAAATAACAAATATATTATGAAAATAATAAATATAGCTTACTATCCACCCACGAAACAATCCTCATACACATAACGAAAATAATCATGTTTTTTAAACTACATATAGCAAATAAACACAAGTATGTATAGTACGCTCTTTTTTTTATGGTTGTGGTTGTTGAGTTGAGTGATTTAAGAAAGAGGAAGAAGAAAAAAAAAAGAGAAAATTGGATTCCTTCTCACTCGTCATATATGGCTACTACGATTTCACTTTTGATTATCCAAGAAATCAGCTCTTAGTCTTTAGTATATTTTAATTATAATAATTAATTAAAAAGTAAAAAAAGAATAATAAAAATAAAAATAATAAAAAAAGAAAGAAAAGAATACGTAACACCACCAGCCCCATTTTACTTTTCTTCTCCGCGTGAGTATTTTTTTACTTTTTGTATTGTTTCAAAAGATAATCGTAACGGATACACCATTTAAAAAATTTCTTAAATTGTCTCTAAAAATCTAAACCTATAAAACGGACTATCTAAAAAAAAAAATCTTTCATTCGTGTTTATATAAAAATAAAATTAAATAATCGTAGAGGTATGATATAATATAATCTATATAAAATAATGTACATGTTATCGTCTCTCTCGTAATAGCCTAACTTTATTTTATTTTTTTATTTTGTTTTATTTTATTTTATTATATTTTTTTTTTTTCGTGTAATGTCACGTTGAAAGAATATGTATCAAAAGGTTCACGAGAAATATTTTCAAATACTCTTCTAAATACTAACGACATTTTTTTTTTTTTTTTTTTTTTTAATTCTACTCTGTTCATATATAATACTTCGTCTATTTATTATTCGTTAGAAGAGTAACCTTTTAATCTATAACTTTCGTTAATATATCCCTTAAACAACTACAAGTATACGCTAGAACCATCAGTCCTGAAACATTGAATATGTTTGGTCCCTGGGTAATTTTCCTACGACTACCAATTGCCTATAAAAATCCTACGTATACATATATAAATATTATATATTATATATATGTTATGTTTCATCTATCATCGACTATCAAACAGAAAAAAACACCATAATAAGTGTTACCTTATAAAAAGAAAAAGAATATCCTGATATATTAGATAAAAAAAGGTACTCGGGGTTAAAACAATTTTCTTTCCTTCATCATTATTATTATTATCTTCTTTTATCTTTTTTCTAAAGTTTGTTATTATAATATATACCATTATCGTAATTATTGTCATTTTTTTATCTTTTTTTTTTACCTAAATCCCATTAAAAAAAAAAAAAAAAAATAAATAAAATTTATCGTTTCATAATTCAATTATCTAATTTTCTTTTTATTGGGCTACTTTTTACAGGCAAAATTTTAATGACTGCACTTTGTACCGAATAATTGATTGCGGCAAATGGTACGATTTGATTGGATAATTGGGACGACTAGGTAAAAAAAGTTGAAGCGTGAGAAAATGTTTGTACGAGTGTGAGTTTCGTAGGAAAAGAAAAGGCCGATCGAGTTAGTTGTTATTATATTCCGTGTGTTAGAAATTTAACCCTAGGGATTCGTTTGAGATTCTAGACCTGTGTACTTTGTAGTTTTATATAGCGATTATTAAACTTATGTTAAAAAAATTTAGAGTTATGGAAATTAAAAAAAAAAAAAGAAATATAAAAAGAAAAATGCGAAATAAAACGCGAAATTCACTAATGAGAACCATCACCATTTAATGAAAGAAAACAAAAAAATGAAAGAAATATTAAAAGAAAATGGATAGACGTAAATTGTTTTAATACGGATAAACGTTTCCAAAGTTAATAAAATAAAGATTATCAACTGTATAAACCGGGGCACACAAAATGGCCTCTCTCGAGACTTAATTTTAAAATATAATTAAACAAAAAATCTACAAACTAACAATTTATTATAATAATTCAATAAATACGATATATCATTCCGTCACATATACATACACACACATACACATAAATCAGACTTAAACATAATTATGCATATGTGCGTGTATTATGTAGATTCGAGTAGGCGTATAACTGCAACGCATGGCCTTTGATTATTGCATTGAGCAAAGCACGGTAAACGTGCTATACTAATTCGGATATCTCATCTAAACGAGATAATCCATATATGTTTATATATATATATATATAGATATATATTATATAAAATACTCATATACATATATCTGTTCTGCAAAATTGAAAATATAACATTTAAATATATATGTAAACTACATAGATTAATTTTTATTTACTTCGAGTATAAAAAAGCGTACCTTGAGGTAACTGAATGCTTCTTTGCATATAAAAAAAAAAGAAGAAAAGAAAAGAAAAGAAAAGAAAAGAAAAGAAAAAATATATTGGATACGATAATTAAAATGGTACTAAATAATAATGCTCTCCGTACCGGTAATAAACTAATATATCGATAATAGTAATAATAATATTAATAATAAAAATAATAATAATAAAAAAAAAGACCAACTCTGTGTACGCTAAATACTGTACGCGTAAAATTTTACTTTTTCTCGGTACTTCGTGACCAAAAATTTCTTGATATTTAATGATTAGAGATTGGACGGTAATATAAAAGGTATATCGTTGACACGTATATACTATTTATATATATATTATTATTATTATTAATAAAAAAAAAATGTAAGCGTCAAGAACAAGGTGTGTACTTCGATCGACAAAACAACAAGAACCGATTGTATATAACGATTTAATATTTTTCACCGCGCGTTTTATCATCTTGGATCGTCTAAGTAGAATCACCGTGTTTAATTAAAAACAAAGGAAAAAAGAACAAATCTCTTCGATCTTTTTTCTATTGTGTATATATATATATAGATATATATTTAAAAAATAAAAAAAATAAAAAAACAATTTTTTTTGGACTAGTATGTAAAAATTATGGCGCGAAACTCTGCGCCGCACTATACAAGACGATTTCTTGTCCTTTTTCTGTTTTTTTTTTTTGATTCTTAACTCGCGTAAATTCACATATTCGTGTTGTCTGAAAGTAATGCGAATGATACGTGGATTATTAATTAATTAAATTAATTATGCGAAAAAGAGAGGTGAGGATTATGTGTGTTATGGGGGGAGAATGTTGGGGATTTGATCGTTCGATGCTTGAGCAGCGTTTGCATTTGTTAAAAAAGGAAATTAAAAAATAAAAATAAAAATAAAATATTTTTCCCGCGAGTGCGTCATGAAAAAGAAAAAAAAGAAATGATGCAGATTAAAAAAAAAAAGAAAAGAATAAAACAAAAAAGAAAAGTATAAAAACGTCTATTCTCCTATCACCCCTATTGATTCCTAACAGGTTTTTCTATTCGAGGCACTATGGTGGAGCATCATCTTCGCTATCGCGTCTATGTACACCGGCAGCCGCCATTATTACGCTCGAAAGGGCACAATATATGCGTTTATGTGTACTTTTACCCTAAAAGAATCTTTATCCCGACTGTGACGCGGCGACTAGTAAATGACTGATTCGGCTTTGCTGTTCTTGCTAAACTTGCACTTACCGAAAACGGTGACAATTAAACGATAAAAAATAAAAGAAAAAAAAAAAAAAGAAGAGAAAATGGGACGTATCTAATAACACGGTGGTACGCCGTAAGAAATATACGAAAAGTCCCTGATTACAATGAACAATTATTATCGTATAATACTAATACTAATACTAATACTAATAATAATAATAATAATATTACTACTACTACTAATAATAATAATAATAATAATANTAATAATAATAATAATAATAATAATAATAATAATAATAATAATAATAATAATAATAATATTATAATATATAATATATAATAATATATAATAATAATAAAAATATAACGAGAAATTCGTCTTCTAAACGACGATTATAAAATTCGGTTTTCCTTCCGAGAAAAACGTTAGACGTCAAAGCTTCGCTCTAGGATCGAGACCAGCGTACAGAGAGGCAGGTAGAGCTTTCTGGATCACGTAGATCTCGTAAGGAAGGTTGTTGACGGGGAAACGATCGAGTTGTCGAGAAGAAAAAAAAAAGCTTGCAAAAAAAAAAAACAACAAATATGTCTGGTTGTATGGTTTTGTGACGGAGTGGAAAATTGTTGGGGCTCTTGGGGGGTGCGGGGGTGGGTTTTGGTTTATTTGGTAGCCGTTGAAAAAATGTTTCGGTCGACTTGTCGGGATTTTCTCTTTTCATAATTATTTTTTTGTTTGTTTTGAAAAAGAGAAGACGAAAGAGAGAAAGAGAGAGAGAGAGAGACAGAGGATCAGCGAGCGAACAACCCACCAGAATGGTCCGCAGTGGCGTACTCGGTGAGAAGTGGCGAGGCTGCTAATGCAGCATAATTGGCGTAGTCCGCATAAGGTGTGTAGATCAGTCCATGTGGATCACCAGCTGACAGAAGAGATCCTGGTGGACCCGAACCATTGAGCAAGGATGCCGCAGTTGTTGGCACCGATATCCTTGGGGACAATATCAACGGTGCACCTAATGGTGCACTTTGTGCCCTCATTGGTGTCGCTAAACCAGGTAGAAGACGTTGCGTTTCTGCTGCGGCCGCAGCCACGCGTCTCCATTCCTCGTCACAGGCTGCAATGTCAAAAGCTATACTCACTCTTTTGACCGGTTCATTTTACGATTAATTTAGAAATATATTAAATGACGTGTTTCTGAGATTAAGACAATTTTTTTTAATGCAAGATATATTACTTTTTTTTTTTTTAAATTTGATTCAACGTGTTATTTTAAATATATTGAACAACACTGCTAGAATGATTAATTCTAAAGTTGTTTTTTTTGTTTCTTAATTATGGTTAATTCATTTATATGATTGTCGACTCCCATCTCCGATTATTTTCATTAGTTTTTATAGCCTATTTTAAACTGTTAATGATCTGTTAAATAAATCATGTCAAATTAACTATACGATTTAACCAGCAAGTATGTCATGTTAAAATGTTAGATTTCGTGAGAGGTACCTGCAGCTGCAGCAACTTTTGTGTTGGAATCTCGATAGGTACCATTTATAATTGCGAGTTCCATCAGTTGCCTCTTTTTTAGCTCGTCTTCACCGTCAGCCTGCTAACAATCGATATCATCGTCAGAATATTCCGCGTATTGTTTTATACGTGAAATTCAATTTATTAAATAGCGTGGAAGGAAACAAATCAAATTGACTTATCCAACCAAATTAACAAATTGAATTTAATTAATGCAAAATAAAAAGAAGAATTATGTTACAAAAACTATAATAACAATAATAATAAGAAGAAAATAATTGGAACTGTCTCACCACGGGCACGAGAAGCTTCTTGACCTCTTCGACGGCTCGAGCAAGTTTCAAGGTCGCACGATTTTCTGTGTCGTCTACAGTCAGTAGAACATGCAATTCGTCTGTTAGGTGTTCCCAATTAGGTTTACCTCGGTTTTGTTCCTCCTGGTAAAATACAAAAAAGAAGTATTAATTTACCTTACTTCAATATTTATATAATCTTACACAAATTAAAAATAATACCAAAAAATTAATACAACCATAACAATGAAAATAATACAAGGCTTTGTATATTGGATACCTTAAAAAGTGTAAAAGATATCTAAACAAAAAACTTAAATGTTCAATCATCACACATGCTTACCTGACGTATTTCATATATATTACTCTTTTATATTTTATTATAACTTAATAAAAACATAATGCGAATAAATCGAAAATTTCGTTACATAAAATAACAGAGAAACCCTTGCAAATTTAATATAATCAATAAATCTATTCTTACAATTAGACAAACAAGTGTTATTGCAATTAGTACGTGCTCGTTAATAAGAAATAAAGAAATAGTAAATATTAACACATCAAGTTTTCACACAGAAAAAACCTAAAAAAATAAGTGACCTAAAAAAAAATCAATGAAATAAATCAATATAGCTGTATAATTATTCATAATTTGCATAAGTATGCAAACATAAATGTCATAGATAATGATTATAACTATTTTACCTATTATTCTGCATTTAAATTTATCTTTAGTATTAAATGATCTATTTGCAAAGTTGTTAATTTCCAATGTAAAAGAAAATTTATTGATCGTATGAAAAATCGCAATAATCTTTTGAAACTTGCATGAAGAAATATATATATAAAAGAATCCTATACACATTATTTATGACGTTCAAACATTTACTTTTATCGATACGAGAACCAACTCTTGCAAATTTTACTTCAAAACGAACGTATAGAATCTTTTTCCTTTTTCTCGTTAGATTTTCCACTTAAAAGATCATGAAACAACTAAATTGTTATCATCGACGATATTACGTAATGTTGATTTTATTTTACTTTCTTTTTTTGTTAAGAGAAGTCATGTTGCTTCGTTATTAAAAAGAAATGGCTAGTAATGGCGGACCCGTGATTCACGAAACAAGTTTAAGTAATTCTCGAATTTATCCTGTTTATTTAACATTAATTATTCAAACAAATAATGTTTAATTTCTAAATTTTCCAAGATACACAATTATTTATTGAGTTTTAATATCTTTCATACTTATTTGTATTTCATGTCTAATAGAATACGAAAATATATCTACAAGTAAATGTTTAAGCAAACCTGATATAAAACACTTATCATTGCAATTTTTTTTCGCGACTTTTTTTTTTTTACTATGAAGTATATCATTTCTAACAATGTTGTAGAAGTGTTAATAAATAAATGTTACGGAATATATCAAAAGAATAATACGACATGCACACGTATATATGTAAATATATACATGTATACTTACGACGATATTTTAACTTCGTACACCACATGCAGCTTGAAACAAACACTTTGTTAGTTAATAGATATCCAGCATCGTGTTTGATTAATACACGAAAAATATTAATAAATAATTAACATTAGAAAAAAAACAATTACTTTTGTTAATAATATTAGTGATAAGCAAGTTTTATGATTAATCAAATTTGTTGGATCAAGATCGAAATATCAAAATGATCGACATGACTGTAAACTCCACTCGTTTAAAATTTTGTCTTGCCTACGCCAATGGGTATGACGAAAAGCAGACGTTAAGAAACTTTCAAGTGCGATTCGTTTTTATTGCTTTTATCGTCGGTTCGGACGAACTTAAAAGAAGACTTGCAACAAATATGAAGGACTTCTCGAACACACACGCATATATAAATACATACACACACACATACATACAAATAAAAACACGCATACACAGTTGTATGTATTTTGTGTTAATCGACTACGATCTCAAGGCCCTAATCAGTTACACAGTTACAGCAGCTACTTCTCATTTTATTCAACACTGCGTTTCTCTTACGACTTATGCGTGTATTCATTTCCGGAAGTATATACGCATAGCATTTTGAATTTTGATGAGTCAAAAGTTCCATTGATCGAAGATATATTTTCCTCTGTTACTATGTCACCATTCTTCTTTTTCTTTCTTGAAATTTTAATCGCGTCAGGGTTGCGTCGGTGTTGCAAACGGTCTAAATTAACCTAACTGAACAACACTAGGCATATATCCTACAAATAAAATTTTATAATGCGCACGATTACATTGTTAAATATTACATTTATAATCTTTTTTTGGATTTCATTGCAACTACAATTTATCTTTGTTTTATGATGCCATTTTTGATGGTAAAAAATATATTATTTCAACAATAGTAGATCTATAATATGAAAAATAACTAGACATATGTTATAATGATGTAAAATATTCTTAAACCTGGTCCAAAATTGAAAAGATACTACTGGAGATGAGAAAACATGAATTTGAAATCGTAGTCGAAATAGATACGCCTCGTTATATATTCAATCTCTCTGAAACAACAAATTCCGGCCTTGAACAAATGAAGCAACTCTTGGCACTATTTCAAGACTTTTTTCCAAGTGAGTGATTCAGCTGTTAGGAGATGATCACGTTAAAGTTATTACGATATAACAAGGAATATATGATTTTTTTTTAATATTTTCATGAGAAATTATTGTTAATGAAATAACATTGAAAATAAAATAATCTAATTACCTTCTTTTTATCCCTCATCGAACCTTTTCCTCGCACCATTATTTTGCAACCTGTTTCTTGTTCCAGTTGTTTCGCTGTCATTCCGCGAGGACCCAAAATCCTTCCAACGAAATTGAACTACAACAGCAACAAAAAAAGAAAACAAATAAATTAATATCACAAAATCCAAAATTTATATATTTTGAATAGAATAAAATAAAATTGTATATGTAAATAAGTAAGGTGACCACCAATTGGCAATAACGTTTATCTAGATAGCGCCACTGGTCTCCTTTGATTGGTAGTACGGAAAGTAGCAACGTGTGGGTGGTGAAGAAGGGATAGGGGGTGGGGGTAAACGATAAGAGGGTAACGAATAACGATAAAAGAACGAAATTAGTCTGATTTAAATCGATCCGATAATGTAGAATAATCGTCGTCATCGTAAAGTAATTATTAGAATTTAATTTAAAGTAGGAGGGGCGTTCTAATAATTATCGCACGCATGGATCGATAAAAGAGCGTATCACAATAACCGATAAGTTAATAATCGGTAGTTAGCATTGAGTGGCTCGTGGAAAGTAATGTTAAAGACGAATAAACACTATTATCTTTATCTGACTCTTCTCGGATTCGTGTGTGTCGGGTTTGAGGACGATAACGTTTTGATAATACAAATGTAATGTGGCATTTATGAAATGAAATTGTACATACGTGCATTGGAATACGGAAAGTAAGAAAAAAAAAAAAAAAATATAATCGTAATTATGATTGATCGTTGACGAAATAAGTAGATAGCTGGATAGATAAATTCTTGCTTAATCGTATGTAAAATTTTATGTAATATATGTTGGGAGATGTGAAAAAAAGGCATGTTAGGTTAATGGCATGCGTGCATATATTTTTTTGAGTCATGATCCCTCATTATACTGTCGTATCATTAAAAGACAGGTAACATAAGACAATGAGATTGTCGACGATACGATGTTCAGAGTTTTAATTATATAGAATTACCATTTAAAAGGTTACGGAGAAGGAAATGATTTTACCGACTGAGCGCGACTAAAGATAATAATTGTTAAATGCATTTCATTTTCTTATATCTATCTATCCCTCGCTTTCTCTTTTTTTTGCATTTTTTCATCTATTTTTATCTATTTTTTCTTACGATAGTCTCATTAATATCAATAAGCACGACTCATCAACGCTCGATCATTGCTTGATCACACGGCTATTAAGTAAATATATTTACAACGCATTAGAAAAATCGTTTCATGAATAATAATAATATTCTCTTAGAATAATATTCCTCGCATACTCGAGAAGATCTAAAACGAAGCTTGTGGTGCCATCTTTACTCGTTTAATTTTGAATTTAATTTGAGAGAAGATACGCGTTTAGAGTTTAATTAATTAATTAATAATAATAAATTATTACTGCTGTTACATCACCATATAAATCTTCTCGTGTTAAATAAATAAATGTAAATTTTCGTGATCTATAATGTATAAACTTAAAAAAAAAAAAAAAACAGAGAGTAATAATATTTGATTAGTATCAAGTAATATATTATTATGTATTGTGCAATAACTATCACGGCTTATCTCAATTTTGTTTTGATTAATTTATAGATACATATTATATAGAAAAGAAAAAAAAAAAAGAGAGAGAGAGAGAGAGAGAAATATATATAAGATGAGATGGTGTACGTTTATCTTTCATTAGTTAAAAGAATATTCCATTAATATGCAATCTCGCGTGAAACGCATCAGGACGTATCTTCTTCTTCTTCTTCTTTCTCTGTTGCTCTTTCTTGCAGTAATAGCAATCGAGCACGTTGACCCTACGGATCAAGGATATGCGTATGTGTCGGTAATTATATGACAGAGGAGATTCTAATCTTAAAATTGAAAATATTTATTTTATAATTTACTTTATATTATAAATTCGATTTTCTATTAATAGTTTAACATTTTTTTTAAAGAAAATTGCAAATACCAAGTCTTATTCGTGGCTGTGTTAAGTTAAACAAAGATATTACTTTATAGTAAAAATTAATTTTATTATTTATTATATATTATCATTTAAATTATAATTATGTACGATATAATATAGTATTTATAATATAAGATAAATCATCAAATCCCATTAATTCAAATTGTCTACAGTCCACTGTTTTAATAACCGTACCATATGGTCCAAACAGGAAGGGTTTTCAATTTTACTGATTTTCTCCGAAATTCTAACTATTAGACGCTCGTCACCTAGCCACGAAAATATTATATCTTACGCATATGCATATACACACACATGCACGTACGCACATATATGCATACATACGTACATACATACACAAATAGAAGTAAAAAAAGAGAACATTCACCGCTTTCTCGTTTTAAGTTCTCTCCTCCAACATAAGATGTCGTCTCGTAACATACACACACACCCCTACACACATATACACATACACAAGAGTATAATGTAGAGAAAATGCTTCCGCGAGCCTGGCAAAGATTAAACTCGAGAAAATGAATGACCTTTAATATTCTTGGTTATCGATTATGAAGTATAAAACCAGATAAAACTGAGAAAGTTTAAAATGAAGATATAAAATGGAATAAAAATAATTGAAGTTCCGATTAAAGATAAGTCTTTAACATTCCATGTTCGCATTTTATATAAATTAAGAGATTTTATTATATTATATTATTTGTTTAATCCTCTAAATGTTATAAAATCGTAACGAATTAAATAGCGCATGGAGACAAAAGACAAGGAAGAAAAGAAAAATAAAACGGTTACAACTAATTGGTAATTGATATTATACCTTAATAGGTATCTCTATCCCTCTCTCCTCTCTCTCTCTCTTTCTTACGGAGTAAAAGGATTTACAAATCACTGTCTTTCGTGGGTTGTAATTGTTTCAATGAATGTCTACATCCGCACTTAAAACAGAAAGAGAAAAAAGAGAGTACGTTTAAAGAAGGCTGCGTGTATATAAGTCTCGTATGTAATTTTCTCTCGTGAATTTCCTGTCGTATATATGTGTATATATATATATATATATATTAAATACGTAAATAGATATATATATATATATATATATTGTCGCATTTAATACGACATTGTGAAACGTACTTCATTTTACATGAGAGAATCTAATATAATTCCGGCATTGTGATAGTTAGCATTTAAATTTCTCTCTTGCTCTTTCTCTTACAATTAATCTTCCTTCCTCTTCTTTCTTCTTTATAAGATTAATTAAACACTAAAACATATTCTAGTAAAAAATAAAAATTCGATTATCGTTCGAATCTCATAAAGAATAAACCTAAAGTTCCTTCTACGTGATCGTTTGAAAAAAAAAAAAGATTGCATTTAAACATCAGGCTTTTTATAATTTTGTTTTTCATTTCTTCTTCTTATAAATTTAAGAAGAAGAAAAAAAGAAGAAGAAGAAGAACGAGAATGGAAAAATGTTGGGAAAATTATTTTGGCAAGAAATGTTAGCCTTCGTCCTCGTTTTATTAAATCCCAATGAGCCGTAAGTCGGCAATAGGGACGTGAAAGATAGAGAAAGAAAGATAGAGAGAGTTCCGTTCTCTTCTGCAGGGATTCTATTCCGGGCATGACCAAAATAACTTCTGACTGTACACATTCGGTGGTTATATACCTCCCCAAGCCCCTCTAATGCTATGAACAGGCCTTCCGCTTGCCTACCTCCCTAGCTACTATCAAATCACGGACTGGAGAGATCCATGTTTTCTCGATTATTTGTCTTGAATATTCGTTTTTAAACTAGTCTCGATTGTCTTTATTTTTAAAAATATTTTTATACTTTTTGTTTGTCCATTAAATTATTTAAATTAAAGATGATTTTCAAGGATAAGTTTTTATTTTGCAAACGCAAACGCATAATTTGTACGAGCAAGAAATGATTTTGGTTTATTTTTCAAAATGGCGGCCGAGACGATTTTTGTTCTCACCTTGCTGATACTTATTTTCTAAAGTTATATTATGGTATTTTTTAATTATTTCCAATTTCTATTCATTAATTATATAAATAAAATCTAATTTCCAAGCATAAATAGTTTGCAAAGAGATTAACACATGAATTATAAGAGATAGAAGTTGTTTTGGAGCTATTTTCAATATGGCGGTCGTTCCCACTTTGTTATTTTTTAGAGTATTCATTTTTGTTTCTTTTTCTTTTCTTTTTCTGAACTTATATTTGTATTTTTCAAATCTTTTTTCTTAGCTAAGAAGAAGATAAGAGTATAACTTACGTCTGGATGTTCTTTGACCGGCACATAAACCTTCTCCATAAGCGTAGTGACCTCGCCTTCGGGTTCTGGCAAAACCAGCGGCTCTTTTTTAACGCCGCTGATTTGGAAAAGGCTCGCCCTCACCTTTGCGATCTCTGTAACACAAAAGTTTGAAACCTGTAATGAAAGAATGGAGTTACTCGCTCAAGGACAAGCGGGTAAATGGGATGTAACTAACTGGCCGATAGGCTGCTATGGTTAAAGGGCCTGAATGTAATTAATGAGGACAATTGGACGTGGGATCTTCTTGTGTGTTCATCTCTGTGTTTCTTTTTTGTTAGTTGCTATAATCAAAGAAAGTTACTTTCACAAGTCTTTCAATTGAACGATTAATTCTCATCATATAAAAAAAAAAATATTACCTATTTTGTTTCTTCTTTTTTGAAGAATCAATTAAATGACAAACATTGTGCGAGTTAACAAAAATGAAAATAAATTTTTTGTGTTTTTAACGATGACTCATGTTTTTCTATCAACCAGCGATGATTCACCATCGAACATTTTATAATGGATCGTTGTTTATTGTATTTCAACTAATTACGCGCGCGTCAAATATTCGTAAATATTAAAATACATTTACAATTTGTGATACTTGAAACACGAAGCATTTCTATGGTTAACAATAATCAGATTTTTTTTTTCTATCTCTCATTTGCCCTCCCTTCCTCCCTCTCATTTTATCGTACTTGTCGGAGAACAATTTGTCCTTGACACAGTGCTGCAATTATGTGCCGAGCAGCACAACGTTAACTTTGCTTAGATCGCCGAACGATAATACTCATCGTTAACGAATAAATATGAGAACGTTCCTGTATGCATATGTGTGTGTGTGTTGTTTCATTGAATAGAATTAAGTTTGATGTACAGGGTGGATCAAAAGTATCTAAATGATTACTAACAATATTTTAGGCTTGTAATTTTACGATTGAAAATTAGCCTAAATTCTTTGAAAAAAAAAAAAAAAAAAAAAAAAAAAAAAAAAAAAAAAAA